AGCCCTACTGGTGCCCCTCCCTCCCCCCCCACATGCAGCCCACTCTGCCCCTGCCCGTCACACAGATCTTAGGGCACAGGTCCCCCCTGCCCCCTGGGAGTGTATGCATCGGTGGGGAGGGGGCCCAGCATGCCCCCTGCTCCCCCTGCCACCTCCTGGACAAGTTGCCCGCGGCCCCATCCCACTCCCTGCCCAAGCTTTGTGGCCGTGCCTAATGGCCCTGGGCCCCAGGCACTGCCTGGCTGGGCAGCAGGCCCAGCCCTGCTCAATTCCCTCCCTATGGGGGCTTCAATCTGCTGATTTCCAGGCTGTCGGGGGCCATGTGCATGTATGAAACAGAAAACCTGGGTCTGTATTAATAAGCACTATTTGAATAAGAAAGGGGATAAGCTGAAGAATGAGTATAAAAGCAATAGATTTTGACGGGCCTGAATGAATTCAAGTCAGGAAGGTCTGAGGAACTTCATCCCAGAGTACTGAAGGAACTGGCAAAAGAGGTCTTGGAACTCTTGGCAATGATCTTTTCAATAGAGATGTACCAATATCAGATTGGCACCAATATAAAGAAAATTGACTATATTGGAAATCATCCTGATGTGGCTGATAAATGTCTGTGCATGTGCGCAGCTGCAGCACAGCACACAGGCAGTGAGGAGCACAGCCTGGCAGCTTAGAGAGCTGGGTGCAGGTGGTAAGTCTGTTATGGTGGAAGGGGGCAGATCAGTGCCCCCTGTGGTGAGGGAGGGAGTGGGGCTGGGGCAGGCACTGCCCAACTGGGATGGGGCAGGGCATGGGACAGAACCACAGCTCGTCTGGGGATGCAGGGAGGGGGAGTGACTCCTTCCTCTGCGCACACTGTGGGAGGGCACAGGAGGGAGCGTGTGCCCCCGGATCTGTGTGGGGCGGGGTGGGCTGCAGCTGTGGGTCGGGGCTGGAGCCAGGGCCAGGTCTATGCTGGATTCTTCCTGGCAGGGGTGGGTGCTGGGCTGTGCTGCACTTGGGGTGGGTGGCAGCGCTGGGAGGGGGCTCTGGGGGGGAGCTGCAGCCACACCAAATTTTGCTGTAGCTCCCCCATACCCCCCATCCAGCACCACTGCCACCTGCCCTGAGCACAGCGTGGCCCCCTCCCCCCAACTCCGTTAGGAAGAGCCTGGCATGGCCCTGGCCCCCAGCCCATAGCTGCAGCCCACCCCAGCCTGCGCAGATCTGGGGGCAGCCCCCCATTTCCTCCTGGGATGCAGCTGCTCCCCCTTTCTGTGTGCTCCTGAGCTGTGGCTCCATCCTGCGCCCCGCCCTGCTCTGGCTGGGCAGTGCCTACCTCAGCACCAGCCCCACTCCCTCACTGTGTGGGGCATTGATGTGCCACCCCACACCCCTTCCCTCCCCTTTCACCGCAGCAGACTTACGAGATGGATGCAGCTGTATCAGAAATCAGATTGGTATTGGCCCGTATGCCTCCTTAAAAATCAGCTATCTATATTGGCTTCCAAATCTCTATTGGTGCACCCCTTCTTTTCAAAGATGGGAAATGGGTGACATATCAGAGGATTGACATTGTGCCCATATTTAAAAAAAGGCAAAAAGGAGGGCTTGGGGAGCTATAGACTGGTTTCCCTCACCTCAATACCTGGGAAGTTAGTGGGGCATATCATAAGGAAGTCTGTTTGCAAGCGGAGGAGGAAAAGCTGATAAAACCAACATGAATTTACTATGAACAAGTCATTCCAGACAAACTTGATCTCCTTGATCTCCAGTGACCTAATCAATGACCTTATCAGCGACCTAACGATCGAAGGGAAGCTGGGTGACAGTGACCAGGAGCTGATCACCTTCACCATCTGCTGTAAAGCTGGCAAGTCAGTCAGTAATACAGAAGTCCTCGACTTCAGGAAAGCTGATTTTGACAGGCTAAGGAGGCTTGTCAGAGAGGCCCTAAAGGGCCACAACCCAAAGGAGAGGGGAGTTCAGGACGAGCTTAAGGGAGCAATCCTGGATGCGCAAGCAAAGTGCATCCCGTCTCAGAGGAAAGGCAGCAAAAGGGCACAGCAGCCCCCTTGGCTGTCCAGGGAACTGGCGGACCTCCTGCGTCTTAAAAGGAAGACCTATAAAGGATGTAGGACTGGACCCGCCACCAAGGAGGAATACTCTGCTCTGGTCCAGACCTGCAGAGAGCAAACTAGGAAAGCCAAGGCTGT